GTAACTGTCAGGTTAGATTAGCCGGTTTCAGTTTCGGCCAGTTATGGTGATTGACCAGGTATTTTTTAAAAAAAAATTCAAAAAAAATTATATAAAATCCAAAAAATAAAGAATTTTGTTTGTAATGAAATTTTTAATATTTTTTATTATTATGAAAAATATTGGAATTTTTTTATCCATTAATACCTATTTTTACATTTTTTCCATTTGTTTTAAAAAAATTCAAAAATACCCCCGAGTATAAATCGATTCTTTAAATTCTATTTTTTCATTAATTTTCAATTTCATTTGGATGTGCTTTGTTTAATAATTTTTTAAATATATTTTTCATATTTTATTAGATTTTTTTGTATTTTTTATTTTTTTTAAAAAAAAAATTGACCGCTCGAGACTTGCCCGATTAAAGCAGTGGAACAGGCCAGTTTACTGGTTAGGCCTATTGAACCGATTCTTGGCCATGTCCAATTAACTATTCCGATTTGATTTTTCCTACATTGGTTTATAGTTCCTATATGCACTTTCCATCAGTACCTTAGGTAGTGGCTTAGATCTCTCTTTCTTTATGTCTTTGGTGCTAAGTTTCCCCTTCAATTTGAATATAAGCCATGAGCTCTTCCAACGGTAATTGAGCTTTATGCTTTAAAACCATTAAGAGAAAAAGGAATATTTTAGGTAGCATTAAGAATTTTTATAGTAAAATTTTAGAGAAAAAAAAGGTTAACTATCCAATTTTTAAAATTTCATAAATGTCATGTCTTAAGTTAGTCGACATGGAAAAAAAGTTAAAGTAAAAATACAGCATTACGCACTATCGATTTTAAGTAGCTGATGCAAATTTAAAGCGGTTTTTAAAACATTGCCCCATGCGACCTTGTAAAACTTCCTCCTTATATCCATATTATGAATTTGTCACGACATTTTGAGGAAGGTTGTAGTTTCATATAAAGTGCCCACCTTGAAATTAAAGTGTACCTCATACCTTGTTAGAAGATGTTTCAAGTCGAAAATTTTTTACTTGAAAAACTATTTTTAGCCTTAATTAAATTTAAAGCTTCAAAATTAGTTTCACATCAAATAAATCTATAAACATTTGAAAATCTTTAACATGGACAATCCGGAATAATTTTTTTTTGCATATCCAACATCTTGAGTCATATATGATCAATTAAGACAGTTTTTTTGTCTCAAAACAATATTTTCTGATGGATTTTTAAATACTTGGCCTCGCAATAGGCCGAGGCCGAGTAACTCAACCGAGTCCGAGTCTCTACGAACGAGTCCAAAAACAAGGGTTGAGACCTTGGGCTTAAATGGTTTGAACATTTTAGTTTTTGAAAAAACTGAATTGAGTCTCATTTCAGCTTTTTTAAAAAACCGAAAATCGCCACTTGTATCTTTTTTAAAAGAAATTGTTATAATACTGAAAAAATGGGTATAGGTGTAATAACATAATCTTGAAGGTGATCCCACAATTTTGGTAAATATAATGAATATATACGTTATTTTTCCAATAAACAAATAGCAAAAAGAGACATTAAAAAAAGAAGAAAAAATGATCAATTCATTGGGAGAGATGGAGCAAGAAAGTAAAAATTCTCTTTGCATAATTAGCAGCTTATTAGTTGACACTGAGACTTTAAAGTTGCATAGTAAAACATTCGCAAATGTGCGAAAGGGGCTAGGGTCGTGATGGTAACATCCCACACCCTAGTCACCACGTTGTTGTTTCATTCCCACCACTAACACTAACTCACTATCCTAATTTACTTGAACAAACGGATAGGGGCATGTCTTCCCTCACTGAATTACCAAAAAAAGAGAGAGGCAAATATAAAGAATATTTTATATTAAAAATATATATAAAAAAATAACAATAATTTTATAGCAGTGTATTACTTATGAAAATAGTGCATGCCCACATTTTATTGCTAGTAAAAATAAGGCAGGGATATTATAAGGGTGCGGTTTGTATAGAGCCGAGGCTCTAAACAATCAAATTAGAGCCCACCTTCAAATAATGTTGAGAAATGTGATTTCAATTATGGAAATCTTTGACTAGCCGTAAAATATATTTTCATCTTTAATTATAAAATTTAAAGCTTAAAAAATAGTGCAGATCGAGTAGATATGAGAAAACTTGAATAATTTAAAAATTGACGGTCAAAAAATGCATTACAATATGCACTATTTTCAAAACTTGAAATCCATTTTTTTCTCAAGTCCATGCATCTTGATGTTGAGATGATCAATTTGAGGATATTTGGAGATCAAAACAACCTCTTCTAGTGAAATTTTTTAGATAAGCTCTAATTTGATTGTTTAGAGCCTAGGCTCTATATAAACCTTTCCCATATAATAAAGGAAAAGTGTTTGATTACTTATCTAGACTCACACTATTCATGTGCGGTCTCCCCTACAAAATATATCTCAAAAGTGTATTTTCAATCCAAATTTTAGAGTTCAATAATCTCATTGTAAGCATTAACCTTGGATACTCCAAGTAAGGCGTGCCTCTTTGAAAGTATGCTTAAAGTTGGTGTGGAAAGCATAAAAGTTATTGTATGAAATTTATAAAGATCCAAAATGGTGTGAATAAAATGTATCTATAAAAGACCAAAATTTTGAAAATGGATAGTCCAGACAATGCCTTAGTAGATGCACTATTTTCATTAGTTTAATTTTTTTATTGTTTTTGTGGATATCCGTACATATCGAGATCAAGATAATCAATTTGAGGGCTTCTAGAAACCGATGGATTTTTTATCCGTGCTTTACTTGCGGATAAGGTTGATATCTTGCCCTATACAAGGTTGAACGTTCTATATCAATTGGACTAAAAAATACTTTCTAGGTTGTGTTTTCAAAATTTTATTTTTTATGATTGTTCATTAGAATAAAAATAGTGTATATTTCAAATTTTGGATCAAACAAATGGTCATAAGATAGTTTTTTTAAGATTGTTGCATCATATTACTCATTAGAATGAAAAGAGTGTATATTTCAAAATTTGGATAAAAAAGTGTATATTTCAAATTTTGGATCAAACAAATGCTTAATATGGTTTTTTAAGGTTATTGCATCATATTACTATATGACAATTGCATATAAATCATTGCCCAATTTTAAAAATCACTTTGCCCACGGTTGCATGAAATCATTGCCCAATTTTAAAAATCACTTTGGTCATTTTTTGAAGGGAAAATATGAGATTAGCCCACTAGCTCATATGAACATATGAGTCCAACATCCCAGATTAATTATGGGCTGATCTGATGATCATGGATGTCCGATAGTATTTGAATTTTAGTTTTTTTTTATACAAATCCAAATCACTTGAAATTTTAGGTGTATGTTCATAAAAAATAGGTGAATTTTCGAAAAATATCAAACAAATATTTTATATAAAATAAATTGACCAAAATACTTCTGAAAAGATTCAAGAGGTATTTTGGTTATTTTATTTTTACGGATAATTTTTTTTATATTTTTATTATGTGCATATTGATGAAAAGAACATACCCTAAAATTTCAAGTAATTTGAATATGTAGAAAAAAAAACTAAAATTTAAGCACTATTAGACATCTGTGATCGTCAAATTGATCCAAATTTCACCTGGACCGTTGGGCTCCTTTGTTCATATGAATGGGCTAATCCCATCTTTTTCCTTTTTTGAAAAAATCCGTTTTTTTTTTTTTTGGTTTGTAAAACCTCATAAATCCTATTATTTGGCCCTACTATCTTAAACCGCCCCAAGTGCTTTGTACGCCTCCATAAGCTAAGGCTGTTGTTCCGGCAAAAGCCTCAATCGCTCTTTGATGTCGGACCAATTGGCTTTGGCTCACTCTCTCGCCTTGCCTTCTTTCTTACCTTGCCTTCTCTCGCCTTACCTTCTCTCTCATCACTTACTCTATTAACAATATCCTATTTATTAATTTATCTGTATTATAAGTTTTTGTATTTTTTTTATACTATAATTATAAATAAATTTTTTAAAATTAGATGATATTATAAGACAAAAATTAATTTTATTCTCATATATATAGTAAAATAATTATAAAATCCAAATCAATAATTCTAATTTCAATGTATAATATTATAGTTAATTAGGTTATTATAATTTCGGATGAGCAAAAAATAATAATAAATATTTAATGTGATACTAATTTCAGTTTAGAAGGGATATGATTTTTTTAATCATATAAAAATATAATTTTTTTAAAAAAAATTACTCATTTGGATGTAATATTATAGTATTAAATTATATAATAAATAATTATAAAGGCATCCAACTAGGGAAATGTCTCATCAATCACGTATTTATGTAAAAAATGAAAGTACGTAATGTAACACCCTCAAATTTGTTTTTGACTAAGTTTCAATACCAATTTTCGAATTTTTTAGTGATAACCAAAAATATTTATTATAATATTATCGTTAATGATTTTACATGGATAACCAACTATTGTATTTTATTTATTAATTTATTTATGTTATAAATTGTGTAATATATATTTGTTTATATAGTTGTAAATTAGACTTTGAAATTAGATGATATTGTAAGATATTTTAGATTTGTTCTTATATACATAATAAAATAATTATAATAACAAAATATAAAACAACACTTGTTTCAGTATATAATAGTATAGTTAGTTAGTTTATGATAATTTTGGATGAGTAAAACGAAGTAATAAATGTTTGATATTTTGATGTGATACTAATTTTATTTTATATGAAAAATTAATTTATCTAATCTTATAATATGGAAGTATTTTTTAATATTTTAAAATTATTTTGATACAATACAATCGTATCATAGTATAATTGATAATTATACATACATCTAAACAAGAAAATAATGTCTCTATATCCATTTATCTTTACAAAAGTACATAATACACCTCCTAGTTTATTTTAGAAACTAAAAAAAATACTATTTTTAGATATTTATAGTATATTTTGAAAATAATTGGAGACAAAAATCGTCGATGTCACAGATTCTTCAATCTGATCGACCAATCCTACATGACGATACAATCCGTTTTTTTTAAACTGGTTTAAATGATCAATTGGTGGAGCGTTCTTCTACACTGAAACACTTTCTTCGATGGGATTAGGTATTTCTTACTCTGCAATCCCTTACCTCCAAATCTTCAATCCCGACACAGTTTCTCTGTCTGGAATACCCATCCCCATTCATTGCACATTTTCTCTCTCTAAAACTGGCCAAACCTCTCTTCCCTTCAATGCTATTCACTCCAATGTCCAACCATTGCATCCCAACTTCTCTCTCTAAAACTCTTGGACAAACCCAAATCCCCATTCCAAGCAAAACACCTCTCTCTTCCCTTGAATGCAATTCACTCCAATGTCCAACCATTGCATCCCAAGTTCTCTTTCTTAAACTCCTCTTGGACAAACCCAAATCCCCATTCCAAGCAAAACAAATCCATGCCCAAATCCTCAGAACCGGTCTCCATCATGTCCAGTCTCTCATGAACAGGCTGGTTGCCTTGTACTCATCTCTTGGCCTTCTAAATGATGCGTCCTCCATTTTTGTTTGCTTGAGCTCACCTTCTTCTCTCTCATGGAGATCAATGGTCAAAGGGCACAGCTCTCATGGCCTATTTGATCAATCTCTGTTTTTATTCTCAAAGATGAGAGCCAATGGGGTCCACCCTGATCATCACATCTTCCCCTCTGTTCTCAAGTCTTGCGCTGGTTTGATGGATTTGAAGCTTGGAGAGTCTATTCATGGCTGTGCTGTTAGGCTTGGATTTGACCATGACCTCTACATTGGTAATGCACTCATGGCTATGTATTCAAAGTGCTGCAGTGTAGAGAGAAAAAGTATTGGTATTAGAGAAAATGGGAGCATCTTATACGCCCCAAGATTGAATGATGAAATTTCTCAAAGAGAATTGAGAGTTACCCAACAATCGTCTGATGAAATTCCTCAAGAGAGAAAGAGAGGGGTTTTAGGCATAGGGAGTGTGATAAAAGTGTTCGATAGAATGCCCCATAAAGATCTTGTGTCATGGAACACTGTAATCTGTGGGCATGCTCAGAATGGTTCGTATAAAGAAGCATTGGCCATGGTTAGAGAGATAGGTCTTGCCAATTTGAAGCCTGATTCCTTCACTCTTTCAAGCGTGCTCCCAATCTTTGCTGAACATGTTGAAATTCTTCATGGAAAGGAGATTCATGGCTTTGTAATAAGACATGGGTTTGAACCAGATGTGTTCATAGCGAGCAGTTTGATCGATATGTATGCTAAATGCACAAGAATTCATGATGCCCATAGAATCTTTCTCTTGATGCCGAATCAAGATTGCATCTCATGGAACTCCATGATTGCAGGATTTGTGCAAAATGGGTTTTTCAATGAAGCTCTGCAAATTTTTCATGAAATGCAAACAGTAGGGATCAAACCTATGGCTGTGAGCTTCTCGAGCATTATGCCCGCATGTTCGCATCTCACGTTGCTCCATCTTGGAAAGCAACTTCATGGAGGCATGCTACGAGGAGGGCATGGTCACAACCCATACATAGCAAGCTCTCTGGTGGACATGTATGCCAAATGTGGAAACATACATATGGCTCGACTGGTTTTCGACAAGATGGGGTTGCCTGATATGGTGTCATGGACGGCGATGATCATGGGTTACGCCATGCATGGCCATGCATCTGATGCCATCTCATTGTTTCATAGAATGGAGATGTCAAATTTGAGGCCTAATTATGTTGCATTTGTGGCTGTGCTCACAGCTTGTAGCCATGGCGGATTAATGGACGAAGCTTGGGGTTTCTTCAATAGTATGATCAGAGATTATGGGATTATGCCTGGTTTGGAGCATTATGCAGCCATGGCTGATCTTCTTGGAAGGGCTGGTAAGTTAGAGGAAGCCTACAATTTCATATCTAACATGCATTTTGAGCCAACTGCTAGTGTTTGGGCAACCTTGTTAAGCGCTTGTAGAGTCTATAAGAACTTAGAAATGGCAGAAAAAGTTGCAGAGAAGATATTTAAACTTGAACGTGATAACATGGGTTCTCTTGTGCTTATGTCTAATATATACTCGGCTTTTGGTAAACGGAAGGAAGCTGCAAGCCTTAGAGTGAGAATGAAGGGAATGGGGATGAAAAAGAAGCCAGCTTGTAGTTGGATTGAGATTAAGAACAAGGTCCATGCTTTCATTGCAGATGATAAGTCTCACCCTGATTATAAGATAATCAGTGAAACTCTCAAATGGCTTTTGGAAGAGATAGAGAGAGAAGGGTATGTGCCCAATACAGAGGAAGTGCTCCAGGATGTGGAGGAGGAGCAGAAGCTGTATATATTGTGCAGCCATAGTGAGAGGCTTGCCATTGCTTATGGAATTATTAGCACACCGCCTGGTTCGGGAATTAGGGTTACAAAGAACCTCAGGGTTTGTGCAGATTGCCACACTGCAACAAAATTCATAGCAAAGGTTGTGGGTAGAGAAATTGTGGTGAGAGATGTGAGCAGGTTTCACCATTTCAAGGATGGGAAGTGCTCGTGTGGAGATTATTGGTGATGCATTCTTCTTGTTTTTATCTCTTTCTAGGTAAAAAAGCTCTGCGACTTCATTACCAGTCTCCAAAGTGCCATCGACATTACTGGTGAAAACTCTGAACTTCCTTGACCATTTCATAATTCTCGTGAAATCACACGAGAAAGCTCTGCAACATGCAAATCTTTTTTTGATAAAGTTAACACTAATGAGAGACGAAATACACAGCTCCAAAGAGAGTGCCCACAAGCCGGACCTCTCAGCCAAAAAATGAGGTATCCTCTAACAAGAGGTCCTGTACAAAAAATGAGGGTCTTATAACAGCGTCCCTTTACAACGATGTACAAAAGAGGGCAATAAAAAGGGTTGTAGAGAGATGTAAAACCAAAAGAGGGTGAACAGCCAAAGACAACCCCAAAAGACCAAAAAAAAAGTCGCAGCCTTGTAAGTTAGGGTGCTAAAAAACAATTAAGTGGCCACGACTTGTGCGATCGTTCCTTCCTTAGCCAGGTGGTCCGCCAAGCCATTTGATTCCCTCCAAATATGCGTCCATGAGACCACTGTAGCCCTGCAAATGTGGGAGATCTCGTCATAAATAGGGGCAAGGTACCAGGGAGGGGTAACTAGACTAGCAGCCAAAGAAACTATATTGTGTGCTTCCCCTTCCACCAGGCAGGGGTTGGCCCCACTCAGGATTGAACATCTTGAGACCCGTGAGCAAAGCCATAGATTCAGCGAGCTGTGAATCAGCCTGGTCGATGTGTTTGGAAAAAGATGCCAGGATGTTCCCTGGTGATCTCCAAAAACCCGACCAGGATTCCCAAGGGAACACCTGTCAAAATTAAACATGACTGAACCAAGAGGAGGAGAGGACCAGCCACCATGTCGAGCGGGGCGACAGTGTTGAACCAGGAGAACTTGCTGCCAGTTCGAAAGGAATGAGGAAGAGGGGATGTCCTTGAAGACTTTGTGATTAGTGGCCCAGCAGATCACAAGAGCAATAGAGCAGAGGTTTTACTTTTGACTCCTCGAAAGATCCTTGCATTCCTTGCATTCCTTTCCATCCACAGGACCCATATCGTGGCCGCTATGCACGCCTTCCAAACGATCCTACCAGCTTTGGGCCAAGGGGAGTCCTCGGCTAAGTTGAAGAGGGCAGAGATGGAGGTGGGCATCACCCAAGTCAAGCCAAAAACGCATAAGAGTCTGCCCAATAGGTTATGAGCCAAGTCGCAATGAATGAAGAGGTGAGGATGGTTCTCTTCTTCACTGAGGCACATAATACATCGATTCGGGATTGGAATCCCCCTGCGCTTAAGTTGGTCTACAGTTAGCTCTCTTTCAGGGCCTGCAATCCAATTGAAGGCTTGCACTTTTAGGGGTGCTATCGAAGACCAAACCTTGGACACCACAGACTAGAGGTGGGTTGGGTGTTGAAGCACAGTATTATAGAAAGAAGAAACCGAGAAGGAGCCCGAGGGAGCTGGGGTCCAAAAGATACTATCCGACCCAGGAAGGGCGAGGAAAGTTTCATGAAGCAAGGCAGAGAGGGACATAAAATCAAGGAGCTTGGCATCAAAGAGAGCATCTAAAAGAAGGGTTTCCAAACCCTGCTGTTTCCCGCTACCGTAATTCTTCCGAGATCCAGGAAGAAGGGTTAGTGGCAAGCAAGAACAAAGATGGGTATTGTTCCCGAAGGGGTGTGTGGCCCAACCAAAGGTCGGACCAGAATCGAACCCTACTACCAGCCCTAGGGTGGAACCAAATGAACTGTTTAAATTTAGATAGAGCCGACATGAAGGATTTCCAGGCCCAGAAGACCTACTTGGAGATCTCCCCTCCGGCAGCCAGGCATCAGTAGGGGGTGTTGGTTAGAGTTGCCTTTATGAGGGTATTTCTTCCCACAAAAGACAGGTACCTCCCCTTCCATCCGGCTAGCTGGGTCTACTCTACCAATAATGTTTGACCATGCAACTTGCAAAATTCTGAATTCTTATGAATATTACTGGAGAAAGCTCTGCAGCTTCCTGACCATACTCTAGATCCCAATAGAGAAAATTCTGCAACTTCCCTACCCAGTTCCAAATTATCATGAATGTCAATGAAGAAACTCCAGCAACTTACCTAACTTCAATTTCTGATGCTTCAACTTACCGAACTTTGAAATACCATGAATGTTATTGGAGAAAGCCCTGAAATATCCTTAACCAACTCCAAACTGATTGTCACAGGATAGAGCTCTGCAAGTTCCAAATTCCCATGAATATTAGTGGTGAAATCTCTGCCATTTCCGTAACTCACCACAAAATTCCTATGAAGACCATAAACCAAGGTGAGTGTGGATCCATTCTTTTGCAATGGGAAGTGCCTGCTTAAGCATCAGGTCATGTAAGATGAATCTGAAGGAAAACTTCAATAAGATTATATTCGACAAAATTAGCTTTGGCACAATATCAGATTTTGTTGAACATAATGTCACATACATTTTTTTTTTTTTGAGAATGTTCACAATTGTATTAATAAAAAAGAAATTACAGTATAGATCATGTGTGTATAAACACATATACAAAGATTGACATACCTGCTTAGCAGGAGCCATCTACAGTGCCCAACAGGGATCAAAAAGAGAAAAACTAAAAAAAAAGGCTCAAAAGTGACACTGACAAGGAGGAAGGAAAAAACATCTAAACATCAAGAGAGATGTTGAGGCGAGCACCATCCCTAGCTAAAGTATCAGCAGCAGTGTTCACTTTTCTGAAGACATGATTCTAGGTGATCCTAAGGGAGCCACAGATTTCATGAAGTTCATCGAAAATGGTCCCAAGTCTCCAAGGGCACGGAACACGACCAGTTGCCCAAGAAATCACTTTACTAGAATCTCCTTCAATGACCAAATCGAGGTTCCAGAGCGGGTTAAATCTATGGATGCCTTCAGGCAAATCCAAAGCCTCAGCGACTGTAGAATCCGAGACCCTGATCGGGGAATAGTATTGGAGGAATGTGGCGCCATCTGAGTCATTCTCCAAAGAAATGTACAAGTCCATAACAATCTTGGGGGCAGCCATGACTTATCAAGATTTTTCCAGAGATTATACCCACTCACAGATCTCTGCTCAAAAGATTCAGGCTCACCCCCAATAATTATGGTTGTATTTAATAAGAGTAGCAGTTTCATTGGACTTATGAATAATTTTTGAGAACCTGATGCTATGAGCCAGTCTTTGAGCTAAATAAATTCGGGGAGTATCCGGCCTTCTTAATTTGCAGCATTAAACTCTTGAGGCATTCATGTATGGTCTTGTACTGGGGATGCGACTTATCCCCTACAAAAAATATATGCATTCTTTCATCTCCCTCAATCCAACTACACCCTGGGTTCTTCTTCACTCCTCTCTCTCGCATCTCTCTTCTGAGCTTTCCCATTTCCTCCCATCTTCCTGCCTTAGCATACATATTTGATAAAATTATGTATATCGAAGCATCATCAGGATCTTTCTCAAGCAAAAGGTCTCCAATTTCCGTACCCAACTCCAAATTCCCATGAATATTACAGGCAGAAAGCATAGCACCAAGTAACCCTACATCTGTTTTCATGGGTATGCTTTTAAAAATCTCATAAGCTTCATGTAATTTGCCTGCACGCCCAAGAAGATCGATCATGCACGAATAGTGCTCCAAAGATGGGGAGATCCCATACTCCATTTCCATTCTTTTGAAATATCCACAACCTTCATGCACCAATCCTCCATGGCTGCAAGCTGACAGTACCGAAAGGAAGGTAACATTGTCTGGTTTCACATTACTCTGCGACATTCTCTCAAAAAGTTTTAATGCATCATTTGCCAATCCATTTGACCCATAAGCTTCGATCATGGCTGTCCAGGAGACAACATCCCTGTCTGGTAGCCGTTCAAAAACATGGTGTGCTTCTTCGACCAAACCACACTTAGCATACATGTCTATTAGTGCGCCACCCACCATTAGATCAGACTCGAGCTCCTTCTCAATAATGTAATGGTGGATTTCCTTCCCCTTTTGATGTGATGCAATTTGGGAACAAGCTGATAAAACACTTGAAAAGGTCACAGCATCGGCTTGAATATTAGATTTCCTCATGCCTTCAAAGATTTCAAGTGCTTCATTGTAATGGCCTCGTGTTACATAACCAGAAACCATCACATTCCACACAACCACATTATTCTTAGGCATTTTCAAAAAGAGAAGTTCGGCATGTTTTATGTTTCCACACTTGAAATAAAGATCAATCAATGCACAACCTATGAAAACATCATTGTCTATACCATTTTTTATGACGTAACCATGGATGAACTTTCCTAATTGCAGGAATGAAGTTCTTGTACATGCTGCTAATAACCCAGTCAAAGTGGTTGAATTAGGCTTCAAACCTTCCATTTCCATCCTTATAAAGAGCTCCATGCATGAATCAGTGTCCCCATTCATAGCACAACCAGAGATAATCGAATTAAATGAGACCACATTCTTGGTAGGCATGGCCTCGAAGACCTTACGAGACATACCCAAACACCCACACTTGGCATACATATCAACAATTGCTGAACCCAAAAACACATCCAAATAAATCTCACTGTTCATTATGCTCTCATGAAAATCTTTTCCTCTATCTAATGCAAGTAGACGAGCACATGCTGAAAAAGCAATTGTAAAGGTCACAGAATTGGGCTTCACGCCTGCAGATCTCATTTTCTCGAAGAATTCGAGAGCTTTCTCACACTGCCCATCTTGATAGTAACAAGACAGCATGGTATTCCATGAAGCAACATCTCTCTCAGGCATCTCATTAAACACTTGACAGGCATCAATAAAATTCTCAGATTTGCAATACACCCCCATTAAAGAGCTCATAACAACAATATCATGCTCAAAACCGGATTTTATCAAAAACCCATGAATGTTTTCTCCAAATTTGATCATTTTTAATCCAGCACAAGACTTCAACACACTGGGAAAGGTGTAATTATCAGGTTTTGGCCATGAAAGCTTCTGCAACTGTTGAAAGAGCTCCAATGTCTCACTGTAAAGTTGGTTCTTGGAATAAGAGGCCATTAAGCCATTCCACATTGAGATTTCAAATGTGTTTTCTAGGGTTTTAAAAACTAGCCTTGCCGAGTCAAAACAACGGCAGGAGAAGTAGAAATCTATGAGCTTTTTGCATAGAAAAAAATTGTTTTGCAGGCCATGTGATATGATATGTTTATGGAGAAGTTTGCCTTGGTTTAATGATCTGGAGTTGGCTAAGGTTTGAAGCATATACGCGAGCTTTTGGGTGTCCATGGAGCTAGCCGGAACGAAATTTTCCGGCCACAGTACGGTTTTCAGGCCAAAAATCCGGTGGTATCTGGCCAAATCCGGTGTTTTCCCTGCGTTTTTTAAAAAGAGCTCATTTCTAACGCTTAATAGGGACGGGCAAGAAGGGAAAAGATAATGGGAAATTTACCAAAAAACAAAATTTCATTAATTATGGATTATTTTGTGTGTTTAAGGGTGTGGAGTGTATAAAGTTGCAAGCCTAAACAGTTCGATTTAGGCGCACCTGCAAATTTTATCATAAGATATAATTTTAGTATCAAATTTTTTTAGAATGGCCTGAAAATCTATTTCCAATTCTAATTATAAAATTTTAAACACTAAAAATAGTTCAAGTAGATCTATAAACATATGAAAATCTTGAAAATTGATGGTTTAGATAATGCGTTGCAAGTGCACTATTTTTGGGAAAAAAATTTGTTTATCAGGGAAGACCCATATTTTCTTTCTTTCATTCCTTTTTCTTTTTAAATTAATCAAAGGACACGGTTTCTATGCTGCTAGCTCACATATTGTAGAAATGCGGACTTGCAATAAAAATATTTTTTAAATATAATTTGATCCTAATTATTAGAAAATATATAATCTTTAACATGAAGATCATGAATATGAAAATAATAATAATAATTTGAAAAAATTTGAAAAACTAAAAATAATTATTATATTAAAAAAACATTTAGACCCTTAGTTACACTTATTTTCATATGGACAACTTATTTGCATCCATCTTTAATATGGATGCTTTATACCTCTGAAAAGTATATTGTAGTAATGCGTCCAGCCCACTTGAATCAATTTTTATTAATGAAAATAATAATAATAATTTGAAAAAATTTGAAAAACTAAAAATAATTATTATATTAAAAAAACATTTAGACCCTTAGTTACACTTATTTTCATATGGACAACTTATTTGCATCCATCTTTAATATGGATGCTTTATACCTCTGAAAAGTATATTGTAGTAATGCGTCCAGCCCACTTGAATCAATTTTTATTAATGAAAAGCTTAGTTTATCAAGGAAGACCCATATTTTATTTTTCATTCCTTTTCCTTTTCCAATTAATGAAAAACTTGTAGTTTATCAGGGGAGACCCATATTGTTTTTCGTTTATTCCCTTTTATTGTTTAATTAATGAAATTGGATGATATATTGATTAGAGAAGGGTGAAGACCTTAAACTTTCCTTTAGCCTGTCTTATGCTTAAGTAAAAAAGATGGGTTGGGTTAGATAAGCAGCCAACTCAATATTAAGGATGGGTTGTGTTAGATAAGCAGCCAACACAATATTTCATCACCATCGAGGGATATAGTTATTCAGTTTTGATGCAGCACAACGTAGTTTTCGGGTATTTAAACAAAAAAAATCAAACTCATTTTTCCAAGGGAAAACATTTCATTTGTAGAGAATAAAACCAGAGCTTTGTGTATATATATCAACCATGAGGAAGGCCAGCCAGCCCAATGCGTCAGCGCTTGGGTTAGAACAAGCTCAAGGGCTTTGTGTATGTATATCAACCATGAGGAAGGCCAGCCAGCCCAATGCGTCGGCGCTTGGGTTAGAACAAGCTCAAGGGCTTAAGTGAGTGAGTTGATCGTTAGAGGACGGAAACCTGGATGATAAGTCCAGCTGATCTTAGCAAGGACAATGTTTTTTTAGCCCGGCAGCCTCACTAATGAGATCAATAGACTCAGAAAGGAGAGTGAGTTAGATGGATTCGGTCATGATCGAAGTGTTGGAGCCAAAGCGCTCGAGAACTTAAGAGTGTTGTGGGACATGGAGCAAGATTTCAGCATACTACGGGACATGATTGCAGAAGCCAAAGTAACTATAGCCATGTATCATGACGTAGAAGCTAAACTCTGGTAGTAGACCAAGATGGAGAACATTCGGAATGGTTGATGCTCGATCAAACCATCAGACATGAGAGAGAGAGAGAGAGAGAGAGAGAGAGAGAGAGAGACGAGGTGTGAGAGAGAGAGACGTAGAACGTACCAACTACCTAAGTTACGAGGGTAGTACGGTACTTACCTTTACC